CAGCTGACGTCATCGTCAAGTGTCAAGCCAGCAGTGGACAGAGGCTGCACCACCCTCGACGATGACACCACCTGTGGTGCAGCTGACGTCATCGTCAAGTCTCAAGCCAGCAGTGGACAGAGGCTGCACAACCCTCGACGATGACACCACCTGTGGTGCAGCTGACGTCATCGTCAAGTGTCAAGCCAGCAGTGGATTGAGCCTCTGCTGCACAGGACATAAACCCCGCGGACATCGCCACGACTCGAGCGACAGCTGGTCGCACGTGATTGCAGGCAGCATATTTACGACGCTGAAGAATCCGACCAAACCCTTCCCAAGCCACCGCAGAGCGCTCTCCACCTGAACAATCAGGCAGCAGGTGCCATCCGTGGTGTGTGTGCCCTGATGTGATGGCCCAGATGCGCTACGACTCCGCTCCCACATCCATACGAGGAGTTATCATGGAGAGAAGCCTCGACCTGCAAGCCCCACGTACAGGAGACCTGTGAAAAGCGAAACTCTCGAGTCGCCCTGGGACACCTCGACTGACGCCCTGCGAATTGTCGACTCAGTGGCAGCAGAGTCGCTCCACCACTTCCCAGCCAGCCTGGCCCGCGAGCTCGCACCCACCACGTGCAGATGCCCCGGCAACTGTCGTGAGTTGATCGGCAGGTGACGTGCGGTGGGGTCCAGTGTGGGGACTGCCACCTCCACCTAACGACGTGGAAACGTCGAGCAGCCAAATACCTCCACAGCAGCAGCAGCAGCTCGCCACCGTGGGGGTCCAAACAGCAGCGGCGTGAGCACCCAGCCGCAGGGCCGCGAGATTTTACCCCCCCGCCCCTCCCCCCACCCCTCCCCCCACCCCTCCCCCCACCCCTCCCCCCTGCCCCCTCCCCCCTGCCCCCTCCCCCCGCCCCTCACCCCCCCCCGCCCCACTGGGGGCCGCCGTGGCGAGGCGTGAACACAAATCTGTAGGATCGCGCCTCGCGGACACGCGCTGCCCTGACATCATTAGCAGACATTAATGCGGTAATTGCCGCAGCTCATTTGCATACGAGGCAGTGTTCACGCGTAGGCGCGTGGCGCGTCGCACCGCTAATTGCTGCCCCCCGCCTCGCGGGGGAGGAGGGGGGGGCAGGGGGGGAGGCGCAGCGCCAGTGAACGGGGCGAGTGGCTCCTCCTCCCCCTCCACCTCCTGCGGTCTGTGAGTCGCGTTGTGATCATGAGCAGCGGGGGGGGGGGTTCGTTTCTCACCCGATCTATATTCCGGAGCTCAGCCCCGGACAGCTCCGGCTGTAAACATCGCCGCCGCCACCGGGGAGACAAAGGCGGCCGGGCGTGGTGCTGGCCACTCACCGCCTCCCGTGCCGCGCCGACCTTCATCACAGGTGCTACTCGCCAACAGCGCTTGCCCCAACAGTCTGTTGAGGCTATACGGGGGATCTTTGTCTTTGCTTTGTATGGGGGTGGTGGGGGTGTTTAAAACATCAGCACTCGAGAGACAAAGGCGGCCGGGCGTGCTGTTGGCCACGCCACCTCGTCGCGTGTCCTGCCGGTCTAATTGGCACCGACAGCACTTGCCCCATCAGCCTGTCGAGGCTATATGGGGGTTCTTTGCCGTGGGTTCCGGCTGTCCGCTCACCGCTGCCATCCATCAGCACCCGCGGGTACAACCTGCACGTGATGCTTGGGCGCTCTGTGAAGAATTGTATTTCTTTGTCTCCCCCCCCCCCCCCCAGAGCGGTAAGAGGCGTGTATGCATAGGGACACAGGCGAAGGTCCCCCGTGTAGCCTCACAGGCTGTTGGGGCAAGTGCCTTGACAGTCGGTGTGAGCATTTCCCAAGGCCCGCGCGGTGCACGCGGCTGTGGCCAAACAGAAAGACGCCTGACCGCCTTTGTCTCCCCAGGACTGATTCCGATGTTGGCCTTGAGCGGGAATCGAACTCGGGTGGCGGGTTCGGTAGGGCAGTGGGCTGCTGCCTATCGTTGCACAACCGCTCCCTGTCACGATAAAAACTCGGGGGGTGTTGTACTAATTTCATCATAAATCGCTGTTTGTGTTCAGTTTGTTGTCATTCTCCCGAATCTCGGATTTGCACGGTTGGCTAAGTACGGTGCGAAAGAAGTTCAGCATACATACCGTGAGTTTAACACGTAGGCCTTCGCGGTCAATATCATCCATAATAGAGTTTTTTGGGTTAGATCGCGTAAATATATAAATGTGTCGTTAAACCCGCCACCACCCGACACAGCCAACTAGTAAGGGTTGTCACGTAACAGAACGTGGCCAATTCGTCACGAGCACAGCACTAACCGGTGTGTTGGAGAGCCAAGCCTCAACATTTACAATCTGCGCACGACGTAACGCCAGTAGTTACAATGAGCGAAACATCGTACATACAGTGACTGTAACATAAACACACAAAGCCAAAGATCCCCGTATAGCCGTCCCAGACGTTTGGGACAAGTGCTGTCAGCGAGTACCTATGAAGGCCAGCACGGTACACGATGGGGGTAGGCGACCAGCACCACGCCCGACCGCCTTTGTCTCCCTAGTGGCGATGTTTACACATTGCATCAGCTCCTCATTTAAGACTGAATCGACCTAGGTGAGGCCCAGTAGCGGTTGAGATAATCGTCGCTGGTGGTGGCCGTGAGCGGGAATCGAACCCGTGCCACCGGGTTCGTGGCGCAGCGCGCTAACACGCACACACGCACACACGCACGCACGCACACACGCACGCACACACGCACACACGCACACACGCACACACGCACACACGGGATGGGGGTCACCGGTGACCCGCGGCCCACGACGAGGTGGACCGCCCCGCCTGCCACGTGCCGCTGAACGAGTGCGGGACTGCCTCGCCCGGCAAGCGAGGGGTTAAGTCGCGGTGACTGCGGCTGAATGGCGAGGGTGCTGATTAATAATTTACGACGCTGCACACACGCGCACACACGCGCACACGTACACACGTGTGTGTGTGTGTCTCTCTCGCCTCTCTCTCTCTCTCTTCCTCGAAGTGCGCGCAGCGTCGTGTCGAGGGGATGTGCCTCTGATTGCGGCTATCGCAGCCCGCACCGCCCCGCGGGTCTCTCCAGGTCACCGCCGTCGCTGCGCTTTCCAAGGATTGCAATGAGCGTGCGTTTCATCTGTGCGCGTGTCCGTGTGCGTTGGTTTGTGTGTCTGCGTGTGTGTGTGTGGCGTATGTTGAACTTCTTTCGCACCGTACGTAGCCAATCGTAGGTGCGGGGGAAGGAAAATCCAAATAAATTCGGGTCAATCTGACCGACTGATTGCTGTGTGTGTGTCGGTGTATCAGTACGTTCTCTTTTGCTGTGTGAAAGGGTCTCTGGATTGTTTGTACTTTGGCTTTGCTTTTAAAAAAATCACGGTTGCTGAGCACGAGGCCAAAATCCCAAGCGGCCAGCAGCAAACGGCCCTCTTGAAGAGCTAATAAAGGGCGTTTTATTGTATTGCATTGTCACATATTGTTGGTGCATTGCCTGTTGTAGTGTTACACTCTTGTTGAAGAGATGACTGCTATCGACCGAGCAGGGTTGAGTCTGGATTGCGGTGATTGCATAGGCGACCCATGTAATAATAATTATAATAATAATAATCATTCAAATTTGTAATGCGGCATTCCATCCTAAGATCCCATTGCGCAACGCATGGGAATCAGGAAACAGAACCAGAGCCAGGGGCCAGCGACCAAACTAAAGAGCGAAGGCCACTTCAGAGAGATGTGTTTTCAAGTCAGACTTTAATGCATCTCCACCCACTCTGCCTGCAGCTGGGTGCCACGCTCACACCGAGCAGCCCACACGGCCGCAGCAGCAGGCGCTGTGAGCGGCAAGGGACGTCTCGACACCACTCCCCCGCCCCTCTCACCTTTGTCAATCCACTGCTGGATGAGGGCCTCCTCACTCCACCGTCTGGGAAACGGCGGTTGTTTGAGCATACTTCTCCACGCTTGTCAGCACGGATTAGTGAAGCGGGGTGGAGGGGGGGGTTCAGATGTAACACGCCACCGATGTTAGCCGTGATCGGCAATCTGTCACTGTCTTATACACAAACACGATCGTAGTTCGTAGCGCAGCGCGCTAACCACATTAATTGCTTTACTGCCTTCGTCTCTCCGCGGCTGGATGGAGATCTCCCCCACGGGGCTCGCCTCTCGCGCTCTCCCGCAAAAACGTTCGCGACGGCGCGGCCTGGCGTCACGTGGCCCGGCGCCAACCACCGCGCCACCGCTCCTCACCGGCCACCCCACGGGACCCTGGCCGAAGCCAGAACGAGAGAAAAAAAAGGGGAATTAATTGAAAGCGCCGCGGCAGTGGAGCGGGCCGTGTGCGACAAGACATCTCGGCCCAAGCGCAATGGGTTTTAGTCCCGGGGGAGGCACGCGTTTTGAACGAGTAAATTACTCTCAGTCTCTCTCTCTCTCGGCTCCCGACTCCTCCCGAGCCGGGAGCAGTAAATGAAGATCCCAGCACGGGGAGAGAGGCACGGTGGCTCAGAGGTCACAGCGCCGAGCCGCGAGCGCTATGAGCCTGGGTTCGCATCCAGGCGTGCGCCCGCCTGCGGTTAGCCCCGGCTGCTGGCGGGGGGGGGGGTGCCGTGGGACGTTTCTCTCCACGTGCCGCCAGCTTCGATTCCGTTCCCGTTTTGCACGACGCCCGACGGCGGTCGCTGCACGAACTGCACTGGTAGCGTCTTCTCGTTCCCGAAAGATGTGCGCGGCACGCGGAGCGAAACGTCGGACATCGCGCCGAGCAAGCACACTGCTGTACCACTCGGAAAGCGCGTGGGAGAGCTGCAGCAGCAGCTGCAGCAGCAGCAGCAGGAGCAGCAGCACGAACCCCCGCGCGAGGCACGGCGTGAATACAAATAGCCCCATCGCGAGGCACGGGAGAGGAGCAACGGGCGGGATGTGGGAGGAGGGGGGTGGAGACAATGAGGCGTTTTGCTCTCATTAGCGATCACCAGCGAGACATTGTCCAGCCGCAGGCTGCCAAGAGGAGCCCGGTGGAGGTCGTCGTGATCACGACGGCTCGTCAGGGTTGCCATGCCAGGGTCGCGGTGTCGTGTGGGTCATCGTGTTCGCTCGAGATCATCAGCGAGCACTGCCAAGATACGGACTGCCAGAGAGCGCCTTGGGTGTCGGTGCTGTCTGAGTCCCCATGGCCAGCCAGAGACTCCCACGGCGAGCCGAGACGCCAACTGGGCACACCCATACCCACGGCTTCGCTTCTCACTCGGTATTTTCGGCGTAAGGCACTACCACTAGAGTACAATATACCCGTATATATGATGATCAAATACGCATGTTAACCTAAACTCCGATTCGGCTCTGTGAACCGGTTTCGAGGATTATAAAATGCGGACACGGCCAGGTTACGTGGATCCGGGACAGTTCCGGCTGAAATGATTCTCATCTGACGCGCGCCCCCCGTGACAAGCGCCTGCCCCACGTGACCGATGGCAGGCACCCCCCGGGGCTGGGAATGCCGCTACGACGCCACTGGGCACTTCGCATTCGTTTGGTCTCCGACACGCCACTGCGTGTGCACGCGCTCTCGCTCATTCACCTGCCCTTGTCAATCCACTGCTGGATGAGACCTCCACTCCCTGTCCCACCCATCCCGATGAACCCCGTGCGCCGATCGTGCATCGGCGTCCCGTGCACCGCGCTCGCCACGGAACGTGTCGGTCGGCGGGCCGCGTGCGTCGGGGCAAGGCGCGGGGACTCCCAGCGACGTCCACCAGGCGACTGCGGCGTGGAGCAGGAGCAGGAGCAGCAGGAGGCGGCCTGCAGATACTCAGCAGTGGCGTGAATGAGACCCTGCAGGGCTGCGCCTTCAGATTTGACCGCGCGGCGCCGCGCCGCCCAGTGCCGCTTGGCAAACGCGAGTAGCGAACGCGCGGTGGCACAGAGGTGCAGTACAACAACGTGCCAAGCTCGCTCCAGGCTCATGGCTGGCAACTTGCCGGCTCTGACGGGATGGGACTCACCCTGGGTGACAAGGGCAGCTGTACAGAGTTCGCTTCGCAGCCTCCACCACGGATTCTCCCCAATGTGCCCGTCTACTGCTGCTGCTGATGCCCTCTCAACCTGCAGCAGCAGCACGGAGACTTGTGCTACAGCCCCCTCCATCTCACCCCCTCCCTCTCCTCCACCTCCTCTCCCTCCCACTCCTCCTCCTCCATCTCCTCCCCCTCTCTCTGCTCTCCCTCCTCCTCCCACTCCTCCCCCTCTACCTCCTCTGCTCTCCGCTCCGTGGGAGCGATGAGACGTCCCGTGCCAGGGAAGCGAAGTGATTAACTGGCGAAGGGAGATTCTCCAGGCATCTCGGTGTCCACAAAGACTCTCTCTCTCTCTCTCCATCACCCAAACCACCCCCACCAACTCGCTCGCTCGCTCGCTCCAACTCCTTCAATCTCCCTGTATATCCCCTCCCTCCCCCCCCCATATCCCTGGCTCCCTCCATCGCACTTCTCGTTCTCTCTCCATCACCCAAAGAACCACCCCTCCCTCCCTCTCCTCCCCCCTCCCTCCCTCTCTTCTTTTTTTACGATCAGAGGAAACAAGAAGATTCTCGGTGTAGTCGGCACTTTGCTTCGTTCATCATTTCGTTAGTTTTCTTCAATGCTTTTCTTTATGTGCCCCCCCCCTTTTTAAATGAAAGATTTCACTAAAGACTTCACGCTCTGCTCTCCTCCTTCTTACCCCTTCTCTCTCTCTACCCCCCCCCCCTTCTCTCTCTACCCCCTATGTCTATGTTCCCCCTGTTTTCTATGTAATATTTGTAAACAAAAAATATCCTCCCTCCCTCTCCTCCTTCTCCTCCCTCTCCTCCCTCCCCCTCCCTCTCTTCGCTCCCTGCCCTCCCTCCCTCTCCTCCCTCCATCCCTCTCCTCCCTCCCCATCCTCCCTCTCCTCCCTCCCCCCCTCTCCTCCGTCACCTCCCTCTATCATTATCGCGCCTGTGCGCGTGGCCGTGACGTTCCGCTGGAGATTCGCGTGAGCGCCGGGGCAGCCCCAGCCCCAAGTAGCCCGGGAGCAGAGCGAGCGGCACCCAGGTGACGGGACGCGCCCCGGTGGGCCTCCGCCGTGGAGACGGAGCGATTCAGCCGGCGTGGATCCACGCTCGCGCACGCTCTCTTCTCACAAAGGCAAAGGTTCCCCGGCAAGTGCCGGGTGGCTTGTGACTTCGCAAGATCGTGAGATGGCAACAGCTTAGGGAGACCTACATCCAGCAGTGGATTGGCCATCCCTGATGGTGATGATTTTTCTCTGGTCCGCTAATTCTATCCCTGTAGACTGTCGGCAAACCGCGCTGTTAGCGAGCGCCTATTAAGGCTGAGAGGGCGCACTGGAGATACGTGGTGTGGGGAGAGCGCCTGCGAGCTCGGCCGCCTTTGTCTCTCCAGGGGTGATGTTGGTCATGCGACAAGAGGTGGTCATGTGAGACCGAGTCGCTCCTAAGGGAGTCCCGTGCAAGACTGCCCCTGGTGTCGATAGCCACTTATGATGGCGGCGATTGTCAGGAATAGAACTCAGGTCTCCGAGTTTGGAGCTCAGTATGCGAACCACTGAGACCCCACAAACACCCTTCGCTACCTCGCTCTCACACACACAAAGACAAAGATGCTCCGTATAGCCTTAACATACTTTTGGGGTAAGTGCTGTGAGCGAGCACCGATGAAGGCCGGCACTGTGGCACACGAGGGGGTGGGTGGTCAGCTCCACGCACCTTGAGGCTATCACGTGACGTGTCGAAGGCTCGCTGCTGGCAGGAGGTCACGGGGCAGCCCCAGGTGACTCGGGTTGACTGACTGAGATGACTGGCAGATGCACCACCCGTGGTCCCCACTGCGTCAACTCTCTCTCTCACACACGCACTGACACACTCACACACTCTCACACACTCTCACACACACACTCACACACTCTCACACACTCTCTCACACTCTCACACTCTCTCACACTCTCTCACACACGCTCTGACACACACGCACTGACACACGCATGCTCACACTCTCACACGCACTCTCACACCCTCAAGCACTCTCACACACTCTCACACTCTCTCACACTCTCTCACACTCACAAACTCTCACACTCTCACACACTCTCTCACACTCTCTCACACTCTCACACTCTCTCACACTCACACACTCTCACACACTCTCACACACTCACACACACTCTCACACTCTCACACACTCACACACTCTCACACACTCTCTCACACTCTCTCACACTCACACACTCTCACACACTCTCTCTCACACTCTCACACACTCTCACACACTCTCACACACTCTCACACACTCTCACACTCTCACACTCTCACACTCTCACACACACCCTCACACCCTCACACACTCTCACACACTCTCACACACTCTCACACTCACACACTCACACACTCTCACACTCTCACACACACCCTCACACCCTCACGCACTCTCACACACTCTCACACACTCACACACACTCTCTCACACACTCTCACACACTCACACACACTCACACACTCTCGCACCCTCACGCACCCTCACGCACTCTCATACACACTCTCACACACTCACACACTCTCACACACCCTCACACACTCACACTCTCACACTCTCTCACACACTCACACACTCTCACACACTCTCACACACTCTCACACTCTCACACTCTCTCACACTCTCTCACACTTTCTCACACACTCACGCACCCTCACGCACTCGCACCCTCCACTCTCGTCTCCGCATAAACATTCAGAACGCGGCGCTCCGCCCGTACAGTGCAATCGAATAACCCCTCCACTTAGAGATCGGTTCATCACGGCGCGGCGGTGGTGGTGGTGGCAATGCTGGTGGTGGTGATGCTGGTGGTGGTGGCGGTGGCAGATGTAACAGCACCCATGAAGGCCGGAATGGCACACGAGGGGGTGAGTGGTCAGCACCACGCCCGACCGCCTTTGTCTCCCCAGTGGCAATGTTTAAACATCGCCGCCAAGCACAGTACTCATTTGAAAGACGAGTCTTTGGTGATTGATCGTTACCTCCCCTCGCACCCATGGGGGTTGTCCGCGCACTCTGGTCTCCTCGCCGCACCCTAGAGACACGGATTCATGCTGCTGGCCAAACGTCCTAATGTAGGACCGCAGAACTTGGGCAGTTGTTGGCGCCAGCTACAGCTGCTGCCTTCCCGCTTGTCTGCGGTTTCTGCAGGGGTTTCAGATTCGTAGTCGCACGCGTGGCGCGCGATATAAAAATACAACAATCCGGAGATGAAAACAACAAACAAACACACACGCCCTCGCACGCGCACGTTAAGCGGTGACACGGAGAGGGAGGGAGCGGGGAGGGAGCGGTGCGAACCCCGCGTCGAGGGGACACGGAGAGCCGGACCACGCCGCGAGCCAAGGTCGGCAGCGTCAGGGTTAGGGGCAGGGATAGGGGTAGGGGGCAGGGATGGGGTGGGGGTAGGGATAGGGGGTAAGACACTAGCGAACTTCGGGGGTTGCGCACTGACACCCGCGTTTTGAGCGCACTGACGAGGATGATTGCCAGGGTGACGAGGGTGACGAGGATGATGACGAGGGTGGTGACGAGGGTGACTAGGATGATGACGAGGATGATGACAAGGGTGACGAGGATGATGACGAGGGTGACGAGGATGATGACGAGGGTGACGAGGATGATGACGAGGGTGACGAGGGTGACGAGGATGATGACGAGGGTGACGAGGGTGACGAGGATGATGACGAGGGTGACGAGGATGATGACGAGGATGATGACGAGGGTGACGAGGATGAGGACGAGGGTGACGAGGATGAGGACGAGGGTGACGAGGATGATGACGAGGATGATGACGAGGGTGACGAGGATGATGACGAGGGTGATGACGAGGGTGACGAGGATGATGACGAGGATGATGAGGGTGACGAGGGTGATGACGAGGGTGACGAGGATGATGACGAGGATGATGACGAGGGTGACGAGGATGATGAGGGTGACGAGGATGATGACGAGGGTGACGAGGGTGACGAGGATGATGACGAGGGTGACGAGGGTGATGAGGATGATGACGAGGGTGACGAGGATGATGACGAGGGTGACGAGGATGATGACGAGGGTGATGACGAGGGTGACGAGGATGAGGACGAGGGTGACGAGGATGAGGACGAGGGTGACGCGTGATCGCGACGCGAGAGTGAATACTCGCAGCAGCAGCAGCAGGAGCAGCAGCAGCAGCAGGAGCAGCAGCAGCAGCAGGAGCAGCAGCAGCAGCAGGAGCAGCAGCAGGAGCAGCAGCAGCAGCAGCAGGAGCAGGAGCAGCAGCAGCAGCGCTGGTGCAACACGAGCAACTCTTCTGCGGCGGTTTCGACATCCGCACTCTCATCAGCAGAGCCAGGCTCGCCCGAACCGATGCTGGAGATCTGCCCTCACCGAGGCTGTTGCCAAGGTGACGGAGGCGACCCCGGCCAGGGCCACAACTCGGTGCCGAGCCACTCGAGTGCCGCCGCCCATTCCGCGCAAAATGAGCTCAGCCCGGGCGGAACGAACGCGGCCGCGGTGACGTTGAGTGAAAAATGGGTCGGAGTAAAATGTTTGCAGCGAAGTGGGACGCGGAATTGTGTGTGTCGAGCTCCCAGAGTGCGACGAGCGCGCGTGAGCGGTGGTGCAGCGGTTAGCGCGCCGCGCTACGAACCCGGCGACCCGGGTCCGATTCCCGCTCACTTGAACCGGGCCTCGCCTAAGTCGACTCGGCCTCTGGTGCGGTGTCTATAAAACATCATCGCCGCTCGAGAGTCGAAGGCGGCCGGACGTGGTGCCGGGCACCGCACGCCATCGTGTGCCGTTCCGGCCTTCATCGGTGCGCGCTCACAGCATTCGCCCCGACACACACAGCGTGTGCGTCTTTGCGAGGAGTCTACGATGTGTGGGCAAAATGGATAATAAAAAATAAACCTAGACACATTCGTTAATAACAATGTCTTCAAATAAATAAAGACAATATATAATCGGCGACGTTTTAGGCAATGGGCCTTCTTTCATGTGTGGGGAACGGCGTCGCAGCCTTAAAACAGAGTACCTCGTGCGCGTGTGTAACATCTGCAAGTGGGAAGACAAAGGCGGCCGGGCGCTGTGCTGGCCAGCCACCCGCTCCTGCGCGGTGCTCGCGAACAGCACTTGCCCCACCAGCCTGCCGAAGTCTACACGGGGGACATTTATCTTTGTTTCGATAGGAGTCTCTGTGCGTGCGTTCGGCCCTGCTACTCTGTTATTCACAAGTCAGCGCTCTGTGCAGGAAACTGGAAAACTCGGAGGAAATCAAACGCAAGAACCCAGGCGGGCGACACTGCGCTCCCGCATTCCATCGCACAGACTGTCAGCTTCGCTTAAGTTAGCGAGCGCCTATTAAGGCCACCACGGGGTGAGCAGCCGCGCGGCGCCTGGCCCCAATTCTCTAATTATCTAATTCTCTCATTTCCTACTCGATCAGCCGCTAAGACGGACGGGGCAGAGGGGGATTTACAGAATCCTTGCCGAGAGAGTCAGAGCTGCACCCTCCTTAGTAGACGACGCGAGATTCATCATCATCATCGCCGTCGTCATCCCCACCACCAGCCAGGGTCAATCCGCTGCTGGATGAAGCCCTCACTCCGGAACCCGTAGCCATCTCTCACGATCCTGCGATGTAAGGATCCACTCAGCACTTTCCCCGACAGCCTGACACTGCTACGGAGAGCACCTTTGTCTTTGTGAGCAGGGGGTGTGTGTGTGAGAGAGTAACAATGAATCCATCCAACGAGCTGATTCCATCGCTCCATCTCCGCACGGGCGCGTTCCGTTCCTTGACTGCTCCTCTCCCCTCGTCTCCCCCTCTCCTGCTCCCCCTCTCCTCTTCTCTCCCCCCGCAGCTTGCAGAGAGCGTGCGACTGCAGGCACGAGGATCCGAGCTGTTCACTATTATTAGAGCAAAAAGCAGGAAGTGTTGGGGGTGGAGGGGGGGGGTTTGGGTGGAGGAGGTGCCAGCCCCTCCCCTCGCGTGGTCACTGAAGCTGTGGAAACTTCACCCCCAACGCCACTCACACACCACCACCTCAATCACTTCACAAAGACAAAAATCCCCCGTGTAGCCTTCACAGACTGCTGGGACAAGTGCTGTTAGCGAGCAGCACCTATAAGGCCGGAACGGTAACACGAAGTGTTTTTTGTTGATTCTGGAGGAGCCCCGATGGTAAAGATTCAGTCTCCTGGCTCCGCCAAAAGGGGTTTGGCCAGGAGACGTCATAGACGCCTGTCCCCCTGGGGCCTCCGTCACAAGCTTATTCATTAAATTTTTCAGTTGTGGTTTAGTGATAATTAATTGAAGGTGGAGGGGTTACTAGCCGCTCGCACTCGTCCAGAGCCCCCAGTTGGCCGCTGTGGTGGTTACAAACGCCATGAGGGTAAAGACCAATCTAAATTGGCCCTCCCCCCGCGGCACTGCCCACCACAGCGTTGCCACCAGGCACCACGAGGAGGTGGGGAGTTGTTTTTGCCGGAGAGGGAAACAAACAGATGTTGTTAGCGAGCACCTATGAAGGCACACGAGAAGGTGGGTGGCCAACACAACGACCGGTCGCCTTTGTCTCCCTAGTGGCAATGCTCAAACATCGCACTGGGTACTCATTTGAGGCTGAGTCGACCTAGGGGAGGCCCAGGACCGGTTCAGATAGTCGTCACTGGGTGTTGGCCGTGAGCGGGAATCGAACTCGGGTCGTCAGGTTCATAGCGCAGCATAGCGCTAACCGCTACACTACCGGTCCCTACATACATACATACAGACACACACACATACAGAAACACACACATACAGACACACACATACAGACACACACACACACACAGACACACACACATACAGACACACACACATACAGACACACACACATACAGACACACACATACAGACACACACACATACAGACACACACGCATACAGACACACACACATACAGACACACACACACACAGACACACACGCAGATACACTCACCGTCCATCTCCCCTTCCCTGCCTCCCTCTCCACGCATCTCTGCATGAAGCTACCCTCTTCCTCCCCTTATTATACAATTATCTCTCCCCGCCCCCCTCTCTCTCCCTCTTCGTCCACCTCCCTCCAATTCCCTCTCCCCAATCTCCCTCCACCTGCCCACGCTCTCGCACTGCCTCTCTCGTGTTCTCTCTTCTCCATCTCTCTGCCTCTCCTTCCTCTCTCTCTCTCCTCCGTCAGAGCGTCACGGCCTCCACGTGCCGGAGCTGTCACTTCTATCCACCCTGGGGAACTCAACTCAAGACGCAGAGACATCCCCTCCAACTCTCAATCCCCCCCCCAACTCTCTCTCACACCCCCTCCAACCCTCTCACCCCCTCCCCTCCGACTCTCTCTCACCCCCCCCCCCCAACTCTCTCTCACCCCCCCTCCAACCCTCTCACCCCCTCCCCTCCGACTCTCTCTCACCCCCCCCCCCCCAACTCTCTCTCACTGGTGATACTAATGGTACTGGTGATACTGGTGGTACTGGTGGTACTGGTGATACTAATGGTACTGGTGATACTGGTGATACTGGTGGTACTGGTGGTACTGGTGATACTAATGGGGGGGGGGTGGCCCCTCCCCCCTGCGCCACGGGGGAGGGGGGGCTGCCGTAGTTGAGCGGTGGCCAAGTGGCGCTGCTTGGCCCCTGCGCGCCACGCCGTGAAGATCGGCGCGGGCGGCCGTACGAGGCAGTGGAGCAACAAGGTGGAACGCGTTGC